CACACACACACACACACACACACACACACACACACACACACACACACACACACACACACACACACACACGTGTGTGTGTACGTAGACAAATTGAGACCCTCTTTTGTCTGCGGACAGATCAGGAAGACTGAGCGAGACATGGAGAGAGTGTTTACAGCACACTATACACACTATACAAAACCAATGACATTTGTACAGACTTTACAGACCAAAGAAGAAAAGGAAGGGGGGGGTGGGGTGGGAAGGGGAAGAAAAACGAGTGCAAAAAGGAGAGAAGAGAGCGTGGAGTGTTTTTGAGGCAGCGATTGCACTCTGTCAACAGCTGCCCTTGAGGCGATTTACCTACACCTACCTTTCCGAGCCACACTGTATTAACCAGCTCAGCAAGTACGGCGCCAAGGGTTCGCCCACAGTTTGGCACGACAATCTCTGCCGTCTCCATTTCACTCTGCGAGGCCTTGTCTGGCCGGCGACTATGCTTGCAGAGCTTTGTCACAAGCTCCTGATCGGTGAAGACTTTTTCCGCTTCACTCAACAGGGCCAACGCTGCTTGACGAACACTTTCCGAAGGCATTGTCATAAGATGTAGGCAAGGGAAGACCGACAGCAACGAGCCGATCAGAAGCTCTTGTGAGGCTGAAACGGCAGTCGCTTCTTCGTCCGACCGCGGCAACGGAGGAGGAGCCCGGACATCGACAACCGTCGGATCAACAGATTTGACAGGAATCATTGCGCGCCTCTGCGTCAGTGACGACAACCACCAGCGTATCAATGTCAACAGCAAAACTTGTTCGTCTTGATCTTCGTTGTATAGCAGCAGAGCGCAGAGTGTGGGGATATGCACGGCAAATCCCGCACCAGCACCTGCACTGTGCTGCAGACAGAGCTGCGTCGTTCGCTTCAAGATCAGCAGTCCGGGAATCAATGGCTGTGACTGCTTTGCCAGCTCATGGCACAGTCCAACCACCATGGCAGTTGTTGACTTCAACAAGAAAGTTGTCTGCGCATCCTGCGAATGCTGTTGTAGCCTTCCCTGTGTCGTGGCGTTCCTATTCTCGACATATGAACTCTCCCTCTCCACCTCGGTCAAGACTGCCGGCTCCGCTCCGCTCTGCATGGCGTCAAGCCCGACAAGAGCAAAGGAGGTTTTCACTGTCAGAGATTCCCGTCTGCAAAGATATTGAGGGATGGATGGATGGATCCGGATGGATGGATGGATCGATCAGCAGACAGACAGACGGACAGTGAGGGAGGGAGGGAGGGAGGGAGGGAGGGAGAGATCAATGGATCGATCAATTGATTGATTGATTGATTGATTGATTGATTGATTGATTGATTTGATTGATTGATTGATTGGTTGGTTGGTTGATTTGTTGTTTGATTGATTGATTGAAGCCTTCGAAGGTCAAACGACCTCCGTGTTTCTTTTGAATATTATTCGTTCTTTGGACGGCGTTTGGTACCCTAGAACATGTCAAAAACTGAAGCGATAAGCAAAAAACAAATTCGGAATTCCCAATAATTTGCTTGAAGAACAGGAACAATGTGGCTTCAGGCTATGGTACCAGAGTGGCCAAGGACCACTTGCCCAGCCGGGCGAAAAATGAGTTAAAAAAATAAAAATAACAAAATATTTCTAGGCTACCAGAGTGGCACGGGACCACTTGCCCAGCCGGGCCAAATAATAATAATAATAATAATAATAAAATAACTTTATTGTTTATTTAAAATTTGGTAAAGAGTTTCGATGTGACGCTAAGGCAAAAATTGTTCAGTTTATTTTTCTGCAAAACATAGTTTTCCCCGCATTTTTTTCTTCTTTTTCTTTTTTTTTTGCTCGGACCTTCCCTGGTCCTTGCACGGCTGGGCCGCCAGGGAAAACAAGGTGACCAAGGCGGCCCAGTTGGTAACACAGTAGACTACAGGGGGGCGAGGGGACAACCTTTTCTTTTTTTTTCCTGAAAAGCAATAATTCCCCACGTTCATTTACGGAAACCTTCTTACGACTTCTCCTTCCTCTAATGATAAGGTTCGATGAACTTCTCACAGCGCCCCCCCCCCCTCCCCCCACACCCCCCGGCTAACCACCAGGATCGCTGGGAGAAGTTCCGCACACTTTTCGGGACCGTTCTTCATTCAATCGGTAGGAGCAATGGGCAGTGTGTACAAACTTACAAAGGACAGGGACGCAATCAGCATGGGCTTACAACTCAACGCTTACGACACATTGTTTTAAATCGGTATTGAACGGCGAATGCCTACCTACTAAGCGATGAGTCATCAGCTCACGCTGATCTCGTCCCTGCCCTTTGTACACACCGCCCATCGCTCCTCAGACAGAGAGACAGAGAGACACAGAGAGAGAGAGAGAGAGAGAGAGAGAGCCTTTGTACGCATGGCCCATCGCTCCACAGACACAGAGAGAGAGAGAGAGCATTTGTACACACGCCCATCGCTCCACAGACAGAGGGACACACACAGAGAGAGAGAGAGAGAGAGTTCAATCAGTAGGAGAAACAGGCGGTGTGTACAAAGGGCAGGGACGTAATCAGCGTGAGCTGATGATGACTCACGCTTACTAAGCATTCCCGGTTCAAGGTCGACAATCATAACAACCTATCGCTCTCACGAAAAACCTTCGTGAGAAAGTTATCTGGGCCTTTCAGCCAAGCAATATGGTTACAGAAATCCACCATAAACCTTTGTGAGCAAAAAGAAAAAAAGAAAAAAAAAAACAGAAAAAAGAAAAAGGCTAAAATACTGGGCCAGGAAGCTGAACAAAAAGGCTAAAGGGACTTCAATTGTGCTGCCTCTGAGGGAAGAGATTAATCATAACTTAAAGCAAATGACAATCCAATGATCATTTTTTTTGTCTTTTTGGACTTTTTTTTCGAGGATCTCAATGTTGCTGAGCTGAACTGATCTTTTTTTTCTTCTTTTCTTTTTTTTTTAAAGGCTAATTCATTTAAGCCCAACCAATTCAATTACGTGGTGAATCTGGACAGGACGGCCTTTCAGGCCTTTGTTATTGTCATTATAGTATTACGGGGAACCCCGTAGCAGCCACATCCATGCTCCAGCCTCCAACGAGGAACATGCGGGAGCTACAGCAGGTGGGCAATACCGGCCAGGTGTCAGCCGGTAGCATCCGGACCGAGCTTCTTCGATGGGCCAGTCACTGTGCCTCCCCTCGAACATCAGCAGTCTCTGCTCAATGCCACTCGGGGGGACCAAAGGCCTATCTCTAGGTGGCGGGCGCCAAGCTTGTCCAGGAAGGTACATGAAGCCAATGGGGGGATTGAACCCAAGACCTCCTGAATGTCACTTGCGTGCCTTACCAACTGAGCTAGATAAACTGATCTTCGAAAACAAGAAACGAAAAACTCGAATTGGAAATTGGAAAATTCACAAAAGTCGAGATGTGCAAAACAACTGTCAAAAGCTCACTCCTACAACAGACCAGGTTCAACGAACCTTAGTAACTTGGTGGGAGTGCTCCAGCATGGCCCCAAGAATCTCCACCACATCTTCTGCACCTGCCAATGCTGCAATACGTGACTAGAAATCCACCAGTCAAAGGAGTTATCTCTCTCTCTCTCTCTCTCTCTCTCTCTCTCTCTC